GTTGTTACTTCCGTGTTGGCTTCAATTGCCTGCCCCCTGTGCTCATAGTGATAAAGGAAAATAACACCTCTAATACACAGTATGGGTCTTATACTGTATGTGTGCAGCTCTATAGCTTTAGATTAAGGTTCAGGTTGTAGCGTGGTGGTGCGATTGTGCATGTGTGTGTGGTTTCCCGTGTGAGTACTTACAACGTCTAAAGGAAGCTTCTTCAAAACCTTGTTCTGTTTCTTTGGATCTAATTTGTAGACGTATTTGTCTGTGACGAGCAGGCCTCGGTCTGTGCTTTTGTTGAATCTATTCACCTGAGAGAGCAGAGGAGGGAAAGAGAGAAGAAGAAAAGGATAAAGCTTCACATTTGTACACTTTTTCTATTTTCTGTAGGATCTTTTGGGTTATCACTACTCTGTTTAAAAACGGGTTTTCCTTGAGGAGCTGCAACACACACGAAATAAAGCAAAAATTCAGACAGGGAAGGCTGAGAGGATCTAGTGGGTTTGAGGTCTGAGGTTGTTTTATTTCCTTTTATCAAAGCCCACATAACTTCAAATACACGGCTAAAGCTGCACCCAGAATTTAGTGGAATCCCTCTCTCTACAATCCCTGATAAGGAAAATACGGCTACCATTATCCACAGAGAGATGATAAAAGAAGTTCAGTGTGAGGTTAAATAATAATCTTCTTAAAGGTTAAGAAAATTGTAGGAGTGAATTCATAGTTCAATTCCTTCATGATTAATCCTCTGATTATATATTTTTTTTATCTCCTTTCTTTATATTACTGTCAGAGAGAGAAGTGTTCACCACTGGAACATTAAGTCTTGAAAGACGAGCTGATACAAAAGGGAGAAAAGCATGAGGGGGTGGAACGGAGAACAGAGCAAGTGAGAAAAATATCCCAAAGCTAAAAAGGAAGCAACAAAAGAAAGAAAATCCTTGTTTTCTTTCATTTCACTGTGTTCTTTCCCTGCGTACTGTACCTTCCTACAGAAGCCAGAGAAGAGGACCTGACTGTACTCGTCTTTGTTCCTCAGCTCCTTGGAAACACGGATGAAGCCTGAGCTGGTCTGAGGGCAGTCTCGCACCTGCAGAAATGAAACACTTGTGTTATTACAAGGAGCCGGCTTGATGCCACCAGCTACAGCGCAGGCGCTACAGGAATGTATCTCGTTGTCAGTCGTAAAACTCTGAGTGACCTTGCTCAGCCCCCTTTTCAAGCCTTTTTTATCGCTTTAATTCCATAAGCAGCAGATCAAAGCTCGGGGGCTTCAAGCTGCTGTTACCAGACACGGCGTTTAGAGAGGGAGCAGAGAGGCTGATACTGGAGCTGAACCGCCTGATGAGAAATACAGTCGGGGCAGCTAAGAAGGAAATCTGAAACCGTGTCACAGTCTTCCTCCTATAGAGAGAAGACATCTTAATAACGTCTTTTACTTTTATGTCACCATTCTCCTTTAGAACTATTTTGCATTAGCTAAATGTGTATATATCCTCAACATGTTTTAAAACTGAATCAACCAGAGCATGTGGCCAAAAGTATGTGGACACTTTGGCACACTGGTGTTTGATGGTTTGAGCAAGACCGCTTAGTAACAGCGAGGCACAATCTTAATGTTTTTAATGTAAAACAGTTTCAACACGACAATGCCCCCGTGCACAAAGCCAGCTCCACAAAGAAATTGTTTTCAGAGTTTCGTGTGGAAGAACTCGACTGGCCCTGATGTGAAACCCTCAAACACCTCTGGCATAAACACGATCGAGTCAGGCCTTATCTCCCAACATCGGTGGCCGACCTCATGAATACATTTGTGGTTGATTGGGATCAAATCCCTGCAGCCAGGTTCAACATCTTGTGCAAAGTCTGTGCCAAAGGAGAGTGGAGGATGTTTGTGAACAGAGTATGAATGGGTTTTTGGAACAAGCTGTTTCACAATTACACCACATCTTGTTTATGTCACTGGTTCTTCAACTATGGGACATGTACCACTAGTGGTATGCAAGCTGCCTCTAGTTGTGGCTAATCTCATCTTCTATTTAATAAATTTACTTTAAAAACATATAATACTGTCAAAATACATCAAAAGTTTGAATGAAAATAGTTTCAATACCAGCCAGCTCTGTAGTCATGTTCATGCATGTAGCGGATGCATACATCTATGATTAGTTATGAGCTAAAATGTGATGGTAAAATAGTAACCAGAGGTCAAATTAGTAGGTCAAAGACATTGCAATTGTGGCTTCAAACAGGACCTATTAGGAAGAGAAGTGTGGACCACGAGTACCCTTTTCCACCAAATTAGCTCTGGTTCTTGAATGGGTTCAGTTCAGGATTCAACAACAGTCAACAATAAACCTGCCTCCTGCGTGAACTGTCTGTAGCTGAATAGGGTCGGTCATAATATAGCCTAATATTTCCTGACATAGTTATTCATATTAATTTAGGGCCATCTCATTTATTCCTCAAGCCTCCTCAAGCCAGGTGACTTTGTGTTGGCTAAAAACAAAAAATGAAGAGGATACAATTATTGAATTTCTTCCTCGAGAGTCAGACAACAACGAGTCCGAAAAACATATTCACGGTTTTATGGGAGTTGGTCCTTTTGTATGTGAGGGCTAATTCATAGGAGGCTGGCTGTTATAATTTAAGTTAGATATTCTACAAACAAAATGCATTGTTGATGCTAATGATCTGGGAGGAAGGACTAATTCACACTAACAGATGTCCCAATCTTAAACTGACATCCTTTCTTACTTCTAGCCTCTTGTCTTGATGAGCTCGGACTCCAGCAACATCCCTGCTTTAAATTCTGAACGACGCAGCTAAACTCGTTGAATCTTGTGATGTTGAAGGTTTCTGAGAATACATGACATACACCAATTGGTCTAACCGATCCCACTTTTTCTCGAACTAGAGCAACGTCAGTCACATACAAGTCACGATCCAGGCTGACTGCATGCCACATTACATGCACTTAACTATAGGTCTTTGTGGAATTAACAACAATCACGTGAAGCTGCTTGAGCCCTGAAAGAGGGCAGCGAGTCACGGGCCGCCTGACAAACTAACGAGGGGAGTGACTCAGGACTTTGCAGCGGTCATGCTCACGCTCCCTGAAGGCGTCTTTCAAGCCTCAGGCCACCAAAACACGCTCAGATTAGCTAGTAAATGAGCCGACTGTGGGATTCATTAAACAACGGCAGTGTTCACGAGCACCATCCTCCTTGAGTCATGCTGTTTACTGTGAGGCTCGTCACATGTGCCACATATACGTTCACAACAACAGATGATTTTCTGTTTTCCTACACACAGCTGGTCGTTCAAGTCTTGTTTACTGTCATAATGTCAAGTGGAAACATTTTTATGGGATTTTCCCAGTTATCTTTCATGAAAGAAATAAGCATGTTGTTGTGTTACAGTGAACTGTTTACCGTACACATGATGATAAATATGAATACACAACTTAAAAATAGAAGGTTAAGTGTAGGCACTGCACATTTCATATGAGGTTTTCACCAGTTTTTGAATAGTCTCATTCTGCACATAAATTCCATTCAAAATGAAACCCTGGATGTATTAATAAAAAGCTGCTTTACCTCATTATTAATCTTAACAATACCTTGCTATCTAGTTAAAGGTATGTTTGTGTTTTGCATTTGAAAATGAGCACAAAATATGGCCAAAATATGACTGAATAAACAAAAACAGCAAATAAAACATGTTTAATTTTGATTAAAAAATGAGTTAAAGTTAACCTTAAAGTGCCTGGAACTGATTAAACATAATCTGGTGAATGGAAGCTTGTTGTGATGATTAACTGGAATCGTGGTAAAATATTCTAAAATCAAGGTTCACACAGTATCCAACATCAGCCTCATCAACCAGTAAACAGTAAGTATAGTACTTGATTGAGTTCTATTCACTGAAGAAGGCCAAAAGCTTCTGTTTAGTAGATTTGTTTGTTTATTTACGTTACTTCTCTGTAAGTAACAATATTTGTACTGTCCCAGATTTAGATAAAGTAACAGCTAAATAAATCAGAGATTATACAATCAGACGGTCGCCAGAAAATAAACTAATCCTGGTAATTAATTAGCCGTTAATTGACAATTTTAAACAAATATTTTACTTGTTTCAACTTCTCAAATATTGCTGGTTTTCTAAATCTTTTATGATTGTAACCTGAATACTTATGGACTGTTGCTCAGACAGCTGTTTTAAATATGGTACTTGGGGTTTAGGAAGGTGTATTGGGAATATTTCACTGTAATCTGACATTTTATAGAGGAATTTATTAATCGATAAATCAAGAAAATAATCATCAGAATAACTGATAATGAAAATGACCATAGTTGTAGCAATAAAATAAATAAATAAATATAAAAAGGCTAAAGAATAGAATATCTTTTAACATAGTGTGTGGTAGATCATAGATGAAACATAAGAGCAGACTCCACTTTGCTTCTTGCTTTTGTTCATGTGTGTTTCTTACATTGGCCAGATAGTCCCTCTCCCAAACTCTGCGGGCTCCCCAGTCCTTCCTCTCTCCGCTCAGAGCAGTCAAAGCCGCCACTTTGGCCCGAACCTCCAGCATGTCAGACGGAGGGATGTTCTTCACGATCTGCCTCGCCCACCACCTGACAACAAGGGATGAGAACAAGACAGCATGTCATGTGGGTGGAGTAATACATCAAAGGTGCAACAGAAAACAATACAGTAGGAGGACAGATTAGATCTGTGAGGGATAAAAATAGGCTTCATCCGCAGTGCCAAAGCTAAAAGTCACACTCTCACCCCAGATAAGTCGAGTTATTCTGCAGTTACTGACAATTTATAAAACTGGAAACATATTATGAGGGAGAAAAAATATTTTTAACAATTTAACTGCAAAAAACACTGAATAAAGTAGTTTC